CTCTCTCTCTCTCTCTCTCTCTCTCTCTCTCTCTCTCTCTCTCTCTCTCTCTCTCTCTCTCTCCCTCTCTCTCTCCCGCTCTCTCCCTGTCTCTCTCTCTCTCTCTCTCTCTCTCTCTCTCTCTCTCTCTCTCTCTCTCTCCCCCTCTCCTCTTTTTGCGGGCCGGAGCTGCGGGATACTTTTCTACTCAACATGTGCAATTCCCAGGCCGGAGTTGCTGGAGCGCGCTTTGCATACTACTTTTCTACACTTAAAACTTGCGATTCTCAGGCCGGAGCTGCGGGAGAACGACTTGTCTACTTAAAACTTGCGATTGTCAGGCTGAAGCGCTTTGTGTAAGTACTACTTTCGGCGCCACAGCGAGAGCGATTCGACACGCGCAATCTCCGCAGAGGGTTCCTCGGCCACGTGGAAAATTTGCACGGCGCCACAGCAAGAGCGACTCTACACGCACGATCCCCGCAGAGGGTTCATCGCCCCATCGCCCGCCAGACCGTAACTTACGAAGCATACCTTACACAGCATGACTTAGTCAAAGTCACTTACGCAGCCTGACCTACGCAGCCTAACTCACGTAGCCTGTTTTACGCAGCGTGACTTACGCAGCCTGACCTACGCAGCCTAGCTTACGCAGCCTGAAGTGCGCAGCCTAGCTTACGCAGCCTGACTTGCGCAGCCTGACTTGCGCAGCCTCACTTACGCAGCCTTGCTTACCGTAAGTCACGCTGGTAAGTTAAGCTGCGTAAGTCAGTTTGAGTAAGTCACGCTGCGTAAGCTATAGGCTGCGCAAGTCAGGCTGTGTCAGTCACACTGCGTAAGTCAGCTGTGTAGCCGGCAACCGTTGATTTTTTTCCAAAGAACCCTTCGCGATGCTTTCGGGAAACAAACAAACAAACGAACAAACGAACGAACGAACGACCAAGCAAGCAAGCAAGCAAGCAAGCAAGCAAGCAAGCAAGCAAACAAACACACACACAAACACACTCACAAACCCACCCGCCCACCCACCCACGCACGCACGCACGCCACAGCACGGCACGCACGCAACCGCACGCACGCAAACACTCGCTCGCGCAACCACTCACTCAGGCTTGCTCAGGCTCGCACGCTAGCACGCTCCCTCCCTCACTCGCACACACTCACTCACTCACTCACTCACTCACTCACTCACTCACTCACTCACTCACTCACTCACTCACTCACTCACTCACTCACTCACTCACTCACTCCCTCACTCCCTCACTCCCTCACTCGCTCACTCGCTCACTGACTCACTGCCTCACTGACTCACTGACTCACTGACTCACTGACTCACTGACTCACTGACTCACTGACTCACTGACTCACTGACTCACTGACTCACTGACTCACTGACTCACTGACTCACTGACTCACTGACTCACTGACTCACTGACTCACTGAATCACTGACTCACTGACTCACTGACTCACTGACTCACTGACTCACTGACTCACTGACTCACTGACTCACTGACTCACTGACTCACTGACTCACTGTCTCACTGACTCACTGACTCACTGACTCACTGACTCACTGACTCACTGACTCACTGACTCACTGACTCACTGACTCACTGACTCACTGACTCACTGACTCACTGACTCACTGACTCACTGACTCACTGACTTACTGACTCACTGACTCACTGACTCACTGACTCACTGACTCACTGACTCACTGACTCACTGACTCCACATACACGTTCTCACTTCACACTCTCTCTCTCACTTCACTCACTCACTCACTCACTCACTCACTCACTCACTCACTCACTCTGCCTCTCACTCACTCTCGCTCTTTCTCTCACACTTACTTAGTCACTGCACTGTCACTGTCACTGTCACTGTCACTGTCACTGTCACTCACTGTCACTGTCACTGTCACTCACTCTCACGCACACGTGCATACGCCAAAACACACATGTGCACGCATGAACGCGCACACACACACACCATGCATTTGGGAAAGTGTTTGCTGGCCTGGAGGAGACTTCCAGAATCATCCTGTAGGGAATCCGAAAACTCGCTGAACGCATCGCTGAAGCCCTGCACCGTCGACTCCTGCAGCTTGTCGATTGCGTCAGTTGTGGCGTCCAAATGAGCATCCATCTTTGCAGCAATGATCTTGTGCTCCTCGCGCTTCATAAGCATCACTACAAGTAATCAACTTGCCGCACAATTGCAGCTTTGCTTGTCATTTGGCAGCAAAAGGGTTTTGCGAGCTCATTCCCAAACTCATTGTTTCAACAACAAAGCCGGTCTCCTCATGGTTGAGATCAAAGATTTGCTTCGCGGCGTCCCCAAGGTTTTTGTTGATGGCAGAGTGCTGCGAGTTCATGGCACTGATGATCTGCTTGCCATTGGAGTTCACGGCATCAATATCAGCCTGCGCTTGCTTTTTCTTTCGAATTGGAGGAAGTTGCTGCTTGTGGCGACTTTGGATCGGCCACAAGCAACAAATCTGACACCTTCCAGTCAAATGCAGGCCTCAATAGCCAACCTTTTTGTCTGGGTTGAGAAGGTCTTATGATCCTGTACTCTAAAACAGACTTAGTGGGTATTGAGTCGAACACAAACATGCATCCCAAGTACATCCAAGACATCCCTGGCACTCCCAAAAATCAAGCCCCCCAATGACAAACCATCGAAGACACGTCCAAAGATATCCCCATGGTTTGCTTACTTCAAGGCCCTAAACACATCCCAGCGTACCGAACGCGATCCTCCCACCAAGACATCAAAGACGGTCCCAAAAAAAAACAAAGACCTGACGACACTCCCAATGAAATCCTCCAAGACAAAGCCCCAAAGACGTGCTTGCAAGACATCACCAAAGGCAGACTCCAAACACACTGCCAAAGACAAACCTCCAAAGACGTCCCTTCAAAGACATTGCCTAAAGTAAAACGCCAAAGACATCCTGCAAAGACATCCCCAAAGAAACATCCGAAGATGTTTCCTGAAGAACAGCTCCCCAAAGACATTTACGAAATAAATCCAAAGACATCCCCTCCCTAAAGGATGCCAATGACATAGACACTCAATAACATCCCCTAAATATATCCCCACACCTACCCGGAAAACACCTTCAAACCCCAAAAATTCGCCTCGGCCCCAAAGGGGCCAAGGGCGCTCAGATCTCTTCTCCAAAGAGAATCTTCGCTTTTCCCCTCCCCCAACCCCCTCCCCAACCAAAATTTTGCCGGCCCGCCCCCCCCCCCCACCCATGTCGGCTGGCCCAAAATCCTGTCCGGCGGGCATTGAAATTTTCGGGGTTCGTCGGCGTCCAGCTCCATGGGTCAATTTTTGTCCAAGTCATCCAGCAGGCCCCCCTCAGCCTGAGACTAGCCTCAGGCCCAGTCCCTGCCCGCCTGCTGGCGTGTCTTACGTACAGCTCAGTAGTCCGGCTGCCCAGCAGCCAGCAACCCACCCATGGCTTCGCAGCCTCGTGGCTGAGACTAGCTTCAGGCCCAGCCCAACCAGCAACCCGCCTAAGCAAACCCCAAGCCCACCCTGTTTGAGACTCGCAGGCCTCAGCCTATCTAGCGCCGAGACTGGGCCTTGCCAGCCTGGGCTCAACTAGCGTCTAGCCTAGCCCAGTCCGCCTGCTGGCCAGGCCTGTCTGACGTGTCTGAAACTGGCCTCAGGCCCATCTGACTTGTCTGGAGCCAGCTTCAGGCCCAGCCCAACCAGCAACCCGCGCGAGCAAGCCACAGCGACTGGCTTCAGGCCAGCCCAACCAGCCACCCGCCCTAGCAAGGCCCAGCCCAGCCCGCCCTGCCCAGGCCCCAGGCGCAGGCCTGCCCCAACCAGCAGCCTGGTCCGGCGCATGGCATCAATTGGCCCAACGTGCCCCAGCCCTTCACTCCGGCTGCCCAAGCAGCGCAGCGAACTGGTGCGGTCACAAGCTTTCAGTAGGATTCGGACCTTCCCAACACTGGATTTCGGTGTTCCTGACCCTTCCCTCAAACTAGGCTGGGCCGAGGCGGGCAGCGCGAAGCGTTTACAATAACTATCCCCACAAACACAGCCAATGTCCTCTAGAGACAATCCTCCAGAGACATCCAATAAGATATCTTGCGAGACATGGCCAAAAGACGTGCACAAAAAATCCCAGCAAACCCTGGAATATCCTAAAGACTCAAGCAACGGCGCTCCAAACAGGATCCTAAAAACATTCCCACATCTGCAAAATAATCCTCACAAAAGGCCCAAAACATTCCCAAATTCCTGAAAGCCACAAAAAGCCCACATTCCATACAAAGGCCATGCCAGGAAACTTGAAGCGCGTTCCTCTACAGTGACTGCCACGAATTGAAGTACTGCGCCTGTGAAATTGAACACTCGCAGCCGCGAACGCATCACATCGCACAAACAGGACGGTGCTCCACATTTCAAGCAAACAAAATAGACATCCCTGGAACGCAAATCGCGAGCCAGCGAGACCTCTCAAAACACGGTGCCACAGCAAAACGATGCTGTAAAAACCCTGTCAAAGCTGCAATTTAGATGCAGGCACAATGCAAGCAACACTTAGTCATTCCAAGTGCTCCGATGTCCGGCTCTCCATTGGCACCGCGAGCGCTTTACACTGCGCATAGGTCTTCTCCAACCCAAGACCGCAAACTGCAATCGTTAAAGGGGGAATCCTGCTTCACATCTAGAAACACGCACTTGCCATGAGCTCATCCTGAATTGAACCTTGGGAAATGCGGAGAAAAACAAGAAAGACCGTTGCCTTGGCATAGGTGTCCATAGCCTGCTTCAGCTGCTGAGTCTCATGGCTGGATTTGTCTTCGATGTGCGTGAGGCGCACGAAAATCTCAGAGACGTAGTGGTCAAAGAAGGCCTTCATCTCAGAGAGTATGTTGTGATTCATCGTGCCAATGGAACTCAGAATCTGCTGGTCACCTCTCTTCACTGCGTCTTCCACGCAAGCGAGATCGCAGTAAACTTTGGCCATGGTGTTCTGCAGTGGGTTGCAGTCAGCGAAGTCGCTCTCAATGAAGCGCTTGTTGCGGTAGTCTTGTGTAACCTCGAGCGCATACAAGGCGCCACCTTGTGCGTTGGCACCTATGGATTCACAAATGTCGCTGACTTCGTTCTTGGTGCCGGCATAGGCAGCTATGGCTCCAGCCAAGGTTATGACCCCAACAATGGAAGAGCAAATGGTCTTGTAAGCTGGCTCGAAGGCGTTCTCGAAGTAATCTGTTGCCATGTCAGTTTGCCTCTCCCAATTCGCCATCTTCCAGCCTCGATTGATGTCACGCGTGCTGCAGTCCCAAACTGCATCAGCGGTCAAGCCAGGAAAGGATGGATTGGCCTTGGACCATACCTCAGCGGAAACTTCATTTGCACGCTCGCACGCCCACCAGCTGAACCCGACTGTGCAAATGACACAAGGGCAACGTCAATCTCAGTCCGACCAAACCTCTCTGGGCCCAGTGTTCAAGCATCCCCACTTACGAGACGACGCTCAAACCGCGACAAAAAGCGACATTCCAGCCAACAACCGAAAAAAAAAATGAAAAAAAATAAATCCCACAACAAAAAGCAACCATCACCGACTAACTCGTAAGGAAAGAAAATGAAAAGAGAATGAAAAGGAAATGGAAAGGAAATGGAAAGGAAAAAGGAAAGTGCAAAAAACATGGAAAGGACATGGAAAGGGAAATGGAAAGGAAATAGAAAGGAAATGGAAAGGAAAAAAAAGGCAATGAAAAGGAAATTGAAAGGAAATGGAAAGGACATGGAAAGGAAATGGGAAGGAAGTGGAAAGGAAATGGAAAGGAAATTGAAAGGACATGGAAAGGACATGGAAAGGAAATGGAAAGGAAATGGAATGAAGTGGAAAGGAAATGGTAAGGAAATGGAAAGGACATGGAAAGGAAATGGGAAGGAAATGGAAAGGAAGTAGAAAGGAAGTGGAAAGGCAATGGCAAGAAAATTGACAGGAAAAGAAAAGCACATGGAAAGGACACGGAAAAGAAATGTAAAGGAAATGGAAAGGAAGGATTCCATTTCATTTCCATTTCCTTTCCGTTTCCTCCCCGTTTCCTTTCCAGTTCCTGTCCAATTCCTTTCCGTTTCCTTTCCGTGTCTCCAAACCAAAAGATCTGGCCCCTTCGTTCCACTTCCTTTCCATTTCCTTTCTACTTCCTTTCCATTTCCTTACCATTTCCTTTCCATGTCCTTTCCATTTCCTTTCCATTTCCTTTCCATTTCCTTTCCATTTCCTTTCCATTTCCTTCCATGTCCAATCCATTTCCATTCCTGTCCATTTCCTTTCCATTTCCATTCCATTTCTTTTCCATTTCCTTTCCATTTCCTTTGCATTTCGTTTTTATTTTTGTTTCCACTTCCTTTCCACTTCCTTTCCATTTCCTTTCCATTTCCTTTCCATGTCCGTTAGTCGCTGTTTTGTTTAAGTTGTTGTTTTCTTAGTTGTTGATTGTGTTTCTTTGTTGTTGATTGTCTTTTTTAGTTGTTGATTGAGCGCCACCTTTTCACATATTAGAGGCAATTGGTAGTTAGTGCCAGGAGCGAACCCTCGGATGATGGATTTGTGACGGACACGCAAGTAGTGTATGAGAATTAGCAAAGAACTTGGAGCAGCGTCCCGTTGCATATTTCATGTAGAGCGAACCGGCGAGCTGTCAGTTGTGAAAGCGGCATTGCGTGAGTTGTCCTCGCATATTTGAGCACAAGTTGCATGTCTTCACGGCGAATTCCAAGTCACAAGTATTGATCTCCCCCTCCAAAAACACAGTTCAGTTGGATGTTGTTTCTTCAGTCGCATTGTCGGGTTCGCATCTCAAGCTGTGCGCAATGGGTCGGGTTCGCTATGGTTTCCTGGACACTGGTGGCGTTTACCTGACATACAACTGCTCACCGGTGTCCAATCTGCAGCATCCATCTCGGTAGTAAGCTATCAACTGTGTCAACAGTTGCACTGAGATCGTTGATGTCGCACCTGGTTTAATACTGGTACCCGGATTTATGTCAAGTTTTCTCGGCTTAAACACGACCCCCCCCCCCAACTGTTTCGGTACCATGATTTATGTCAAGTTCAAACTCCCAAACGCAAGAAACCTGAGCAAAGAACACTGTTGGCTGATTCCTCCTCTCAGCTTCATGGCTCAATTCCAGAGTCAAAGATCAACATCCTTCACTTAAATCCATCCAAAAACACTCCCAAAACAGTTCTGCAAAGGGGGTTGCCCATAAGGGGCCCTGATCATCTTTAAAAGGCACTACTGTATCTGGGTACCACATTTGATGTGTGGGTGGGAAATCTGAAAGGAAGTCCGGGCAATACTATATAAGTTATATAAGTTTAAACTAGGCCATACTACAGTAAGCACTGGGAATCCAAAAGGAAGTCTTGCCAATACTAAATTAGACTGGGCAATACTGCATCAAGTGCTGGGAATCAAAAAAGTAGGTCCTGGCAATACTAAATTCAAACTAGGCAATACTAAACGACGCACTGAGAATCTGAGAGTAAGTCCTGGCAATAATGCACTTAGACTACGCAATACTAAACTAAGCTCTGGCAATTCAACAGGAAGTGCTGGCAACACTAAACTGAGTAGTGGCAATACTAAAGCAATACTTAAGTCACCCAAGCTCCCTCCCAGACCTAAATTCCGGATCCCCGAGCACTGTTTTGACTGTTGAGGGGGGGGTGGGGGCAGCAAATCAAACAAGGTCCAACATTTAGCTGCTTCGCTATTATGTTCATTTGCAAATTGCGGTGGCAAGGCGTGCATCGACACTATCCAAGTTGCGTGTGGCTCTTGCCAATCCGTGTTCTTCTTTCCTGGTACCCCGTCTTCTCCCCAAGTTTCCACTGCCGCGGCGCCAGTGCTGTCCACTCCGAGAGCATGATAGCAAGCACCCACAACGTCTTTCTGCTTCTCCTGATTGCTGAGGTAGTGCTCGCCCTCAACAGGCTCAGCACCAATGATCTTTTCCCGACTCTCACGTGCCAGGCAGTGAGGAGCGTAGCTCACAGGCTCTGGCGACCAGTTCAAGACGGTCTCTGTGACGCTGCGCCTCTCCAACTCCTTCCTCTCGCCTTCGAAAGGCTTGAACTCCGCCTCCTCAAACTTTGCCATCTCAAACTTGGCCTTCGGGATCTTTGGCAGCTTCTTGAACTTTTTATTGCCCAAGCCGCCGTTGCTTCCGGCCCGGGATTTGGCCCCCTGCCCCTGACCCAAAAGGCTTTGGTCCATCTGATCACGCCCGACCTCCACTGCCCCATTGCCCGTAAAGGCGGTGGTCATTGGCTCCAAAGGCGTGTAATCCACACCCTCTTGCAGCCCCGCACCCAACTCCAGCGGATGTGCAGCGACAGAAGAGGAGCACAAAGGTGCAAAAGACTTCGACTTCGACTTCAAGCACCACGCGCCTGAAAGCCGATCAAAGGACACCTTCATGGCATCGGGGTCAATCTTGGTCCAACAATCCGAGACGCTCCAATCAGCTCGTCCGCAAGAGGTACTCTTCCTATAGTAACATTTGTTTCCTGTCCACTGAAAACCGGCACACTCGGTATGAGCTGCGCAAACTTTGCCGCAGATTGCCTCAGCCAAGCCCCTGGGCGCATAGTCCCATCCTCAGATCATATTGCAAAGAGTCCTGAAACCGGTCAAGGCCCTAATGCAGGCAAAGTCTCGCTCGCCATTGGCCCCACAATAGGCCTGACCGTCTAGGGAACCGCACCAACCGCACGATTTGCCCGGCTCCAAGGTGAATGGGAGGCTCCAGTCCTGGCAAGCTGTTGCGGGCGCTCAAAGAGCACAGCACTATGCTCGACGACGTGTACACACACACACACACATTGTGGCTTGAATGGTCGGTGTTAGCTAACACGCGCTGCCATGCAACCCCTGTTCCATTTGCTGCTTATTCCTTTACATGTCTTTTCCGTTCATGTCCAAGTGCCTTCCATGTACAAAAACCAGTTCCTTGCATGCCTCTTTTGTGTCCTTATACAAATTATTCTTACTTTCCAAACCTTTGGCAGAGCCGCCAAACTGCCAAGTTTCTCCCAATCGCTGAGCAGCGATTGAAAGCCACGCCAAGCATAAACCCGTCCCCGAGTCCCCAACTGCAACCGGAACCCTGCGAAAACCCGAGCTCCGCTCGCGCTGCAAATCCCGAACTCGGAGCCTAATCGTACCCATGAAACTTTCGACACGCTGCGCCAGCGCCTCCCGGAGCCCAATCCAGCAACATGGAAATAAATATCCGGCGGATCCAAAACCGAGCCAACCCCGGAACCTTGACCAGCCACTCCATTGGAACCCAAAAAACACCAGTGTTCACACTCTTATCCTACACTAAAATGTGTTGAATTCCAAGCGGCGGTCTTCTTAGAAGTTGTGTGCTCTAGTTGGGGCCTCAAAATGAAATCCTCCTCAGTGGCCATTGTGTAAGCATGCGCGCCTGAGAGCTCATAAGCATGCAGCATGGGCAAGCCAGCAAACAAGAAAGCAGGACGGCAGGAAAACAAGCAGGGAGGCAAGCAGGGAAGGAAAGAGCAAGGAAGAACAGGCAAACAAGCAGGAGCGAAAGAAACATAACAGCTAGCCACATGAAACCACCTCGGCCTTGCGCTTGGGAAACGCTTGCGCGGAACTTGCAGGAAATGTCACGAGTCAAAACGGCAAAAAAGGTGCATGTCTTTTGGAGCAACCAACAACAACCCCCCCACGTAGATTCAAACACACTGATGCTGGCACTGCTGCTTCGAGCCACCGTGAACACTGCAGTTTTGACTTGCGCGAAGACTTTCCGAAACCCTGAAATCCCCGAACACATTGAAAGTTTGCCCCGTTTTTTTGACTCAGGTGTTAGGGACAAGCGCAAACTGGCATGTGAGAACTGCCCGCGTATTGCGCGTGTGAATCATGGCCAGTCCAGGCCGGGCCGCCCACACAAACACAAACACACCCACAAACACACACAAATACACACGGACAATCACACATACAGACGCGCACACACAGCCTGACATAGATACACACGCACACACAGACGCAGACACCGACAAAACCACAAATACAAACGCAACCACACAGCACACACAGCACACACACACACACAGACACACAACACACAGACACACTAGACACAACCACACACACACACACACACACAAACACACACACACACAAACACACACACAGACACACAGACACACAGACACACAGACACACAGACACACAGACACACAGACACACAGACACACAGACACACAGACACACAGACACACAGACACACAGACACACAGACACACAGACACACAGACACACAGACACACACAGACACACAGACACACACACAGACACACAGACACACAGACACACAGACACACAGACACACAGACACACAGACACACAGACACACAGACACACAGACACACAGACACACAGACACACAGACACACAGACACACAGACACACAGACACACAGACACACAGACACACAGACACACAGACACACAGACACACAGACACACAGACACACAGACACACAGACACACAGACACACAGACACACAGACACACAGACACACAGACACACAGACACACAGACACACAGACACACAGACACACAGACACACAGACACACAGACACACAGACACACAGACACACAGACACACAGACACACAGACACACAGACACACAGACACACAGACACAGACACACAGACACACAGACACACAGACACACAGACACACAGACACACAGACACACAGACACACAGACACACAGACACACAGACACACAGACACACAGACACACAGAGACACACAGAGACACACAGACACACAGACACACAGACACACAGACACACAGACACACAGACACACAGACACACAGACACACAGACACACAGACACACAGACACACAGACACACAGACACACAGACACACAGACACACAGACACACAGACACACAGACACACAGACACACACAGACACACAGACACACAGACACACAGACACACAGACACACAGACACACAGACACACAGACACACAGACACACAGACACACAGACACACAGACACACAGACACACAGACACACAGACACACAGACACACAGACACACAGACACACAGACACACAGACACACAGACACACAGACACACAGACACACAGACACACAGACACACACACAGACACACAGACACACAGACACACAGACACACAGACACACAGACACACAGACACACAGACACACAGACACACAGACACACAGACACACAGACACACAGACACACAGACACACAGACACACAGACACACAGACACACAGACACACAGACACACAGACACACAGACACACAGACACACAGACACACAGACACACAGACACACAGACACACAGACACACAGACACACAGACACACAGACACACAGACACACAGACACACAGACACACAGACACACAGACACACAGACACACAGACACACAGACACACAGACACACAGACACACAGACACACAGACACACAGACACACAGACACACAGACACACAGACACACAGACACTACACACAGACACACAGACACACACACAAACACACACACACACACACACACACACACACACACACACACACACACACACACACACACACACACACACACACACACACACACACACACACACACACACACACACACACACACACACACACACACACACCACACACACACACACGCACGCACGCACGCACGCACACACACACACACACACACGCACACACACACACACACTTAGACTCCAGATGGAGGTGCTAATCTTTCGAGTACAACTGGTAAGTCTCGGCTTGGATAAGGTTCTTCATGAATAAGTTTCGGCTCGCAATGCACTCGGCTTCCCTCGAGTGTCGAAAACGTTACCCGAAAGAACAAGAAGCACAAACAGCGCCGCAACCAAGGGGGCCAAAAAGACATTCAGCAACATCACTTTACACATGCAGGTACGCTGGGATGATCAGTCCTAGTATCACCACCGATGGCAAGTGTCTTCGTTGGGAGACTTGCCATGGTGCTCCTGCCCCCTGAAGTTGTATGGTGGCAGGGTATTCTGCCACTGCGCACACACACGCCCCTCAGTGAGGGGCGAAAATCTTTTGTTCCTGCCGGAAGATCACGCAATTGGCTCATCAATGCTAACGTCTACCAAAATATCCACTGCGTCTGGGAGAGCGCGAAACTGCACGCTCCGCACGAGGCCGCTCAGAAGACGGGGACGAAAGATCTCCAAGATGAGCAAGACGTGTGCCGCCATAGAAGACAGGCGGAAGCTGCAAAGCTGTCGGGCGATCACCGTCAGAAATGGGAGGGGCATAGGTGAACATCTCCTCAACCTGGATGTGGTCCGCGTGTTGTACACCAGCAAGTGATGGATCAGGGCCATGATGGGTGGAGAAGGACTCAAAGCGAGACAAAATCCGTTGATAACCTTGATGTTGCACCAGTTCCGTCAACATGCTCAGTCACCCGTTTCCACTCCCGAAACAAGTTCTCAGGTAGGTCGGGTACTGCCTCATTAGGGTGCCACAGTTGATGTTCCCGGAGTGTAGATCCGCACCCACTCCTGGTCCGCCAGACGGAATATTCGAGCCAAGGGTGCTGTTTGTCCGTGCTGGCCGACGTTTGAGCCACATCATCTGTGTCCATGCCGAGGTAAAGGACGGGGGTACCGCGGGCTCTGATCCAGCTATCGAGGAAACAGTCACAACGCACAACCATGCACAACCGACAAACACACAAGCAAGCAAGAGCAAAGATGACACTCTTTCATGTCATGATCAAGGTGGATCGGTTTATACGTCGCCGAGCTCGAAGATGGGCTGCGCCTTGGTGTTGGAGTTGCCTGATTGACCCGCAGTGGTATTTGGATCAGACACCAATAGATTCGGGTGGCGCGACTCCACGAGATACATGTGCTGGATGGTGGGACGCTTGCCGCGCGCGTTCTGACTGTTAGTTTTCTAATAGGCCGCCTGGCTTTGGAAATTGATAGCCTGATGGGGCTGAAGACCTTCAACTGATATTTTTTGGCAACGCCAAGAGCTCCTGAACAACAGCCATCTGGTCACACACAGCTAGATTGCAACCAACGCGCCTAGCATCCAAACAAATGCGCAAACGAAAGCTCATTTCTATCTGCCTGCGTGACGCCTGCATGCCAAGAAACTAGCAACACATCTTCCAGGATGCGTTCTGCAACTCCTTCAGAGCAACACATCTGCCAGGATGCGTTCTGCAACTCCTTCAAACTACTCTGTTGATACAGACAGCATCAAAATGTCTTGAGCCAAAACAAGCAAAACTAAAAAACACAAAACAACAAACACACGGTTGCTTGTTTCACCCCAATTCTTGGGCCACAAGCCAAAAAGGCTTAAACCGTTCTTTGTTGAGGGGTATAGTTGGTGTTAGGGCTTTGTTTGGGGTGTGTGTATCTGCAAGTCTGAGAGAAAAGGATATCTAACTCTTTGTGTGTATATATATATATGGGGGATTGCCTGTGTTTCACCCTAAACCCTAACATTTACTAGACACTGCAGGAAAAATCACTGAGCCCACAGCCAAAAAGGCTGAAAAGGGCGATGAGCAAACAGCCAGTTGCTTACCTCACCCTAAACCCTAAACATAAAATTCAGACCGGTTGTGAAACCACGTCATGCCATCAATTGAAATCAACACAACAACCCCCCTGGAACAAGAAAGCAACGGAGCACCGAGAACCTGATTCTCTGGATTTTTCGCACGCTGGACTGCTCATCGAGGTATCTGAATTTATGCCAATCTGGATTTGTACTGCGCTTCAAAATGCAGGTTCTCATTGCTCATTGTCT